GATCATCAGGGCCCTTTTGTATCCAGAAGGTGCTATGGCCCAAACCCCCAGATGCAGTTAGCCAGCTGCACGAGAGGCATTTTCCCAATGCCATTCCTGGTACCGCCAACATAAAGAACACCCCAAAAAAGATGTCAAGTCTGTAGAAGACATGGAATTAGGCATGACACCTGCTTTTTTTGCCCCTTGTGTCCTGGCCAACCTGATCTGTGCCTCAAGGATTGCTTCTGTTGCTACCACAGAGAGAATTAGTATAGGGTACAGCGCGGCACAGTTCAGGGCACATATTTGCACAGGGTCTCAAAAGAGGTTAGGTAGTCAGGAAACTGGCTATTGCATTTGGAGAGAACCTACAATCTGTTTAAATTCAAGTTTAAAGAAAAGAAAAGAATAAAAAGTACAAGTACAAAAAAAAATTAAAACATTTTAAAAACCAAAAATAGTTTTTTTTGTTATTGAGTTACTGTTCTACTGATACGATTATACTGTTTTATTATTAACCATTGCTATTTTCTTTGTAGGAATACCATTCAGCTGCAACACCGACCTGTTTATTCTGACAGCAACAGGGTCTCGCTCTCAGAATATACATAAGTAAGTGTGTGCACCGCTGTTGGATGAGAATCTTCATCTGCAGTTAAAAAAGAGCATATATTATTATTATACAGGATTTATATAGCGCCAACAGTTTTCTCAGCACTTTACAATATAACGGGAGACAATACAGCAACAATACAGTTCAATACAAGTGGGAAAGGAGGGCCCTTCTCCTTGGAGCTTATATGCCGAAGCATGGGGGCCTGGGTGGCTAGTGGGTGGATGGCCCCTATGCTTTGGTATATATTTAAAGAAAACATTTTTTGGCAGAGGTTTCTTCATCCACATCGTCTGAAGTGAATAGAGGAATCTGTTAGGTTAAAAAAAAATAAAAATTTCACATGTGCCCACCATTAGAAGTGGGTGGATGCAGGGCGGTATATTATATTCTAATGATGGGCATACCACACATGAAGTTAAAATTAAAAATTAGTGAAGCGCTTGTATCACATGAATACAATCATGTATCTCCATATAGTGTAATTATAAATCAAAGTGACCACTATATATAATAAATGTGTGTTGACTCCCTCTAGTGAAAAGAAAAAATAGTGTCAACCAAAATAGCTAAATAACACACATTAGGAAACTAAATATATAGTGCATAAATCAAATATAATGAACAGAATATATATACGTGAAAACAGAATATTGGCCACATACAATGGTGTCTAAATTATACATAAATGATATATGCCATAGGTGAACAAGACAATATCAAAGGTGAAAAAAATATTCCATGCATGTGACTGTGCTTTAAGCTGGAACACACACGTGATCTCCACTTCTAAGTGCAAGTACTCTCCTTCAAATGGCAGCAATGCCTGCTCACCTCCCTTCCTCGACCCACACAGGGCCTCAAAGCAGTTACCACCTCAGTGGTGTATTCCTCTGGCAGACTCCTTATTCCTCCTCCTCTCTTATGCAACTCATAAAAAGACAAGAAAGCCTTCCATAGTGTAGTAAATTTAATAGGCAAAGTTAAAAATTACAAAGTTTTCCACTCACATGCTCCTTTCCATAAAAAAGCGTTTTTCCCAGCCTGTGGGTAGATATGCATGCACCTGGGGGAATCCAATATGGCCATATTGGATTCCCCCAGGTGCATGCATATCTACCCACAGGCTGGGAAAAACGCTTTTTTATGGAAAGGAGCATGTGAGTGGAAAACTTTGTAATTTTTAACTTTGCCTATTAAATTTACTACACTATGGAAGGCTTTCTTGTCTTTTTATGAGTTGCATAAGAGAGGAGGAGGAATAAGGAGTCTGCCAGAGGAATACACCACTGAGGTGGTAACTGCTTTGAGGCCCTGTGTGGGTCGAGGAAGGGAGGTGAGCAGGCATTGCTGCCATTTGAAGGAGAGTACTTGCACTTAGAAGTGGAGATCACGTGTGTGTTCCAGCTTAAAGCACAGTCACATGCATGGAATATTTTTTTCACCTTTGATATTGTCTTGTTCACCTATGGCATATATCATTTATGTATAATTTAGACACCATTGTATGTGGCCAATATTCTGTTTTCACGTATATATATTCTGTTCATTATATTTGATTTATGCACTATATATTTAGTTTTCCTAATGTGTGTTATTTAGCTATTTTGGTTGACACTATTTTTTCTTTTCACTAGAGGGAGTCAACACACATTTATTATATATAGTGGTCACTTTGATTTATAATTACACTATATGGAGATACATGATTGTATTCATGTGATACAAGCGCTTCACTAATTTTTAATTTTATTTTGCACTTATTGGTATCAGCTAAGTGACAGCAGCTGTATTTTGTCAATTGGAGCGCAGGAGGAGCCCTTATTATTTAGCACACATGAAGTTACCCACCTTCAGGTTTTAAAAGTGGTCATTGGATTTCAGGCTCCTGTATGTGGCTAGGCTCCCAAAGAGTCTCACACATGTGGTATCCCCATACTCGTAGAAGTAGCAGAATGCATTTTGGGGTGTAATTCCACATATACTCATGGCATGTGTGAGCAATATATTTGGGGGTGTTTGTACTGTCCTGGCATTTTAGCACCTCACAAAATGTGATAGGCAGTCAGAAAGTAAAAGCTGTGTACAATCCATTATCTCATTATCTATACCATTTTCACACAAACCAATTAAAATGCTGTTATTGGGATTTTTTTAACAAACTCATGTAGCAAAATACATTTTGGCCTAAATTTATGACGAAATATTGGGGGTTTTTTTTTTTCAAAATTTCCGGTCTTTTTTTTGTTTATAGCGCAAAAAAAAAACAACCCAGAGGTATCAAATAACACCAAAAGAAAGCTCTAATTTGTGTGAAAAAAGGAGATAAAATTTCATTTATGTACAGTATTGCATGACCGTGCAATTGTCAGTTAAAATAGCACAGCGCTGTGTATAGCAAAAAAAAGGCGTAAATTGCAGTATCTATACCATAGTTTGTAGACACTATAACTTTCACACAAAGCAATCAATATACACTTATTGGAATTTTTTCACCAAAACATGTAGCAGAATACATTTTGGCCTAAATTTATAAATAACTTTGAGTTTACTATATATTTTTTATAGCCAAAAGTAAAAATTAGTTTTTTTTTCAAAATTTGTGGTCATTTTTTTGTTTATAGCGCAAAAAATAAAAAGCGCACAGGTGATCAAATACCACCAAAAGAAAGCTCTATTTCTGTGAAAAAAGGACATAAATTTCATTTGGGTGCAGCATTGCATGACCATGTAATTATCAATTGAAATAGTGCAGCGCCGAATGGCAAAAGAAAGGCATGGTCAGGAAGGGGGGTAAATCCTCTGGAGGGCAAGTGGTTAAACAAATCTCCCCTATATTGTCCCCTTACACACGCATACATAACACCTCCATTAATTTGGTTTTAGCAAGTTTTCAAATTTTACTCTAGTTTTTTATCAAGATACTATATCATTTTTTTATTAAGTATTTTTATCTTAGTACAGTAGCTAATGCTAAATTTATAGAAGAATCTATTATATGACTATACATTGTATATTTGATTATATGCATCTTGTGGCCTGATAAAGAGGGTCCTTAGTAGCCCTTGAAATGCACTGGCCTTCTTTGTTGCACTGATTTTACCTGTGGAGTGGTGCTTTCTTCCCTCAAATCCCCTGACAATACAAAACCTGTACTTATCAATCCAAAAAACTTACATTTGGCTTTAGAAGTACAATAAAGCAGAACTAAACACATTGATTTAACAGTTTCAAAGAATACAATCAAGGCATGATATGAATTCTGTCACATTTGCTTGTGCTTTCAACTAAACTATCAAACCAAATGGCTGGTCTCATAACTGATTACAGAGGCTAAGATGGCAGCTTCCTTGGCTGAAAAGGATACGGGGGTTTAGCTCCACTTTAAGTAAACCTGTTTCTTTGCCTTGTATGACCAAAGCACTGATTTACTTTGCTGGCTTTACAGATATAAGTTAGAGTTACTGCCACACCCATAATGTGTAAAAGCATCCTAATGCACAAAACCAATGTACCTGCATTGTAATGCGCCAGAACACATGGTAATGCACTGCTTAGGGTTGTGGTAAGCTGCATTGTAAAAAAAAAAAAAAAAAAAAAAAAAAAAATAGTGCAGGTGCAATTGTGTGTGTTGAAAGCCCAATGAAAAGAATGGTTGCCTTGATGAAACTCAGATTAACATGCAAGATAGCAAACATTACCCCACATGCAATGCATCAAACAGGTGTGAAGTGGACCTTAAGGCTAGGTTCACACCTATGCAGTTTGCGTTTGAGCTGTTTCTGCACTGTATTTTGCGTTGCATTTTGCACCTGCGTTTTTGACATGTTTTTTTTTCTTAATTTTTTCTTATTTTTCGTGTTGCTAGGCAGATTTAAAACGCAGCAAAAATGCACTACATGATTTTCTGAAACGTTTTTATTGACGTCTATAGAACCAAAAACGCAATTTTTAGCGTTCAAAAAAGACCCTTTCCAAAAACGCGCTGGATGAACACACGGAGATGTAAACATGTCCCATAGGAAATCATGTTAGATGGATTGTACTGCGTTTCTACAAAACACTGCAGAAAACGCTTAGGTGTGAACCTAGGGATATGGTTTTTACAGCCTTACCTCTCAAGTGGTATATGTGCTATTCCTGAGAGGGGTGCACGTAGCACTGTGATACATTACAGTATAGTGTTCATTGTACAAATAAAGCTCATGTCTGCAAACATTGCTATAACTGCACAGTCATATGAAGCTCTAGTTTCCATGACACGCTCTAGGCAGTTCTGTTTATGATATCTTTGAATCACTACTGCTCTGTCTTTTTCCAAGAAAGACTAAATCAAAGTCTTGATAAATGCCTGAAACACTATTCAGCACAAATCTACAGCCAGACACCTTGTTTAGATAAATACCTTTTTCAGTGCACACACCCTCAGGACTCTTTCATATTTCTCTTGAATGTATTCTTTCCCAAATAATATGTTACTTCTGACAGTGCCTGAAAACACCCAGGGCTGCTGGGAGACATAGGCAATTCTTCCTCTGATGTCCACAAAGCCTTTATCTTTTGGTAGTTCACCCAGAATTGCACTCAGAAGGGAAGACTGCAGAAAAGTAAAATGAAAGATATATTTGTGAATACAAATTAATTATGTTTCACTGTTTTATTCAACTGCATCATATCCGAGATGAAATATCATACTGGCATTTGATTGAACAGCTGAATATTAAATAATTAACTATCTAGCTATTGTTTTCCTCTTTGTTGAAAACACAAATATAAAAGACTCCGGCTTGCATAGCTTTTCAATACAGAAGGGCTTTCATGTTTGTTCAATATTTTTATTTTAGGAAATTTTGTAATGAAAGGGTTGGTGCGAAGAATGCACTGATGCATTTTTTTTTTTTCCTTACTGTATATGGCTATGTTCTTATTTTTTAAAAATCTACCTATGTAGACGTTTATGTAACTGTAAGTGAGTTAAAGAAGAAATAAGCTGATAACAATATGCATTTATATCCAATACCGTTTCCTAAAAATAAACTGTCAAAATGCATTTATATACTGTAGGTTCCCCATGCATCTGTATATCAGGTACACGAGGAAAACATTACAAAAATGGGTCAGCTTTCTGGGTGCATTTGCAGCTTCCTTTACTCTGCTCACCATACGATGTGGTTTAAAGTGGTATTAAACCCAAAAACAAAAATGTGTTGCAGCTTACCAATCCTTAAGTGTGGTGAATGAATTTTTTTAGGCTTTCTTTTTCATTTAGTTTAACCTGGTGATCCAGCAAATAAGTCTGTTATTTTTCAACTTACTTTAAAGAAGAATTCTGGGCAAAAAATGTATTTTCTCATGCAGTGCAGTTTGTCTAGGGGGTTCGGTAAGCAGAGATATACAGTCATGGCCAAAAATATTGGCACCCCAGCATTTCTGTCAGATAAAGCACCACTTCGCCCAGAAAACTGTTGCAACTACACATGTTTAGGCATTCTTATGTTTCTTTTGTTTGTATAGGTATAACACAGAAGATTGGAGAAACAAAATCAATTATGACACATTCCATGCAAAATTCCAAAAATGGACTGGACAAAATTATTGGCACCTTTTCAAATTTGTAAGAAATAATTGCATTCCAAGTTTGTGATGCTCCTGTAATTTGTAATTAAACTCACCTGTATCAATTAACAGGTGCTGACAATATAGAAATAACACCAGCAACCAGTTAAAATGCTGAAAAATTGACTCAACCTTTCTGTTGTGTGTCTCTGTGTGACACAGAGTATGGAGAAGAGAAAAAGCAGCAAAGAATTGTCTGAGGATTTGAGAACAAAAATTGTGTAAAAGCAAGGACAATCCCAAGGTTACAAGTCCATCTCCAGAGAACTTAATGTTCCTGAGTCCACTGTCCACAACATTGTCAAGACGTTTACAGCCCATGGCACTGTAGCTAATCTCCATGGACATGAGCGACAGAGAAAAATTGATCAAAGATTTCAATAAAGGATTGTTCGAATGGTGGAATAAAGCACCTCAATCAACTTCCAGACAAATTCAAGCTGACTTTCAGGCACAGGGTACAATTGTGTCAGCTCGCACTATACGTCACCATGTGAATGAAAAGCGACACTATGGTAGGAGAACCAGGAGTACCTCACTGCTGACACAGAAGCATAAAAAAGCCAGACTGGAGTTTGCAAAATCTTACCTGAGGAAGCCAAAATCCTTTTGTGCTGTGGACGGACGAAACAAAAATTGCAGCCTTTTTGATAAAGCACATCATTTTATTGTTTTCAGAAAAATAAATGAAGCCTTTAACCACTTACCATCCGCCCTATAGCAGAAATACTGCTACAGAGCGGCACGGGTGCGAAAAATCGCGTATATACGTGATTTTGCATATCGGGTTGGGGGCACGCGCGAGCCGTGTGCACGCCCTACCTGCGCCGCCGCAGGTAGCAGAGCCATCCAGAGCAGTGTGCTTACAGTGAAGCACACACCTCCTCGACCCCCAGTAAAACACTCCTAGCACACAGTTAACCCTTTGATCACCCCTCATTGTTAACCCCTTCCTGCCCAGTGCCATTAGTACAGTGTCAGTGCTTTTTTTTTAGCACTAATCACTGTATTGGTGTCACTGGGGATGTCAGTGACACCAAGTCAGTTCCCCCCAGTGTCAGAATGTCCGTCGCAGTCCCACTATAAGTCGCTAATTGCCGCCATTATTAGTAAAAAAAAAAAAAAAATTACAGTATCTATACAGCCATTTGTAAATGCTATAACTTTCACGTAAACCAATTAATTTACACATATTAGGATTCTTTTTTAACAAATACATGTCGCAGAATACATTTTGGCATAAATTTATGACTGCTACAGGGAAGCATGGGTGCGCAAAATCATGTATATATACGTGATTCGTGCTCCCGCGGTTTTCGTGCCCCTCCCAGATAGCCCATCAGTATACCAGTAATCATATTTAACCCCTTGAAAACCTCCATTGCTAGTATAGTGTCTAAATGGATCAATATATCTTTGATCAGATCAGCACTATACCAGCGTTCACATTAGTATAGTGTCCCCAAAAATGCATAGTTAGCGGGACCACCCCCGGCACCTACCAGCACCTGTGTTTAGCCCCTATGCTTACCCCCCGCCCCCTTCTCTCCCAGAAAGTGCAGTGTCAGTAGGTCACTGTCACTTGATACATTCCAGACAAAACTGCAGCGTTCGCAGAATCAGACCTGATTTCTGTTAGCACTTACCGGTAAATTTTTTTGTAGCAGTTCAAGCAGTCCCTGACAGCCACGTGCTCCGTGGCGAGTCCCATAACTGCACCAAGAATTTGCACACAGGCCCGTAGAGCCCCTAACATCCATGTGGATATGCTTGCAAATCCCGATTGGCAGCCCACAAATTCTGCAGCACCCGTACTTCCCCCATTCACTGCCCTACCCGTAATTCAGGTGGAAACAGCAAATTTAATTTTTTGGAGCTGTTTTTCACACAAGATCTGTATGCATTGATTGTGGATCAAAGCAATTTATATGCACAACCGTTTATTGCCGCCAACCCAAATTCAAACTTTGCCAGACCATTTGCATGGAAACCTATTACGGTTTCCGAATTTAAAGTTTTTTTGGGCCTAACTCTCAACATGGGCATTACTGAAAAAAATTAATTGCAGTTGTATTGGTCTACAAACCCGATTTATCATATGCCCGTGTTCTCTGCTGCCATGGCCAGGCATAGATATGAGAATATAATGCGTTTTATGCATTTCAATGACAACACACTCTGTGGTCCTCAGGGTGACCCTGAATTTGACCGGCTCCACAAAATTCAGCCCCTCGTAAATCACCTTAATCAAAAATTTGCAGATTTCTATACTCCCCAGCAAAACTGCGTTGATGAGTCCCTCATTAGTTTTTATGGCCGCCTTCCATTCAAACAATTTCTCCCCAGCAAGCATGCCAGATATGGGGTCAAGATGTATAAGGCCTGTGAGAGTGCAACAGGTTATACATATAAATTTTGGATTTATGAGAGAAAAGATCGTCACATGGAGCCCCCCGGATGCCCAGACTACATGGGGAGCAGTGGCAAGATAGTTTGGGACTTGGTGTCATCCTTTCCATATGGGGTACCAAAATTTTTATTCAAGAGTGCCACTATTTAGATATTTGTACAATCTTAAAATTGGCGCATATGGCACCGTGCTACCTAATTGCCGGGGCTTCCCCCAAAGGCTTGTAAATATCCGTCTTAGAAAGGGGGGAAAAGCCTGCTTGAGAAATGAGGATGTCATTCAGCTGGAGCACCAACTTGTTTATTCTGACAGCAACATGGTCTTGCTCTCAGAAGTGGCACATTAGAAGTGGATGGATGCAGGGAGGTATATTCTAACGGTGGGCATACCACACACTTTTTCTGGCAGAGATTTCTTCTCTTTTTTTCCATTCAGCCCACATAAAAAAAAAAAAAAAAAAGAATATAGCATATACACCCAACAAGGACCAGTGACCTACTGGTACATCACTGGACTGGCACTATTAGAAGTGGGTGGATGCAGGGCGGTATAATCTAATGGTGGGCATACCACACACTTTTTCTGGCAGAGATTTCTTCTCTTTTTTTCATTCAGCTCACATAAAAAAAAAAAAGAACATAGCATATATACGCAACAAGGACCAGCGACGTACTGGTACATCACTGGACTTTGAGTGGTTATACCAGGATGATGCTTGTAGCTGCAGGCATCACCCTGGTATCATTTTTTTCAGCCGGCGATTGGCTTTCATGAAAAAGCAATCCTAATGGCTAATTAGGTGCGGGATTGCTTTTACAAAGCAGTGGGAGAAGATGCCCCCTTCCCCGCTGCCTTCCACGCCCTTCTCGGGCAGTCCTGTGCCATCGAGGGAACCTGAGAATGCAGTCGGTGTTTCTGTCAGCTGACCATAGAGCTGTTTGGAGACTGGAATGGTGCCAATCATCTCTATATTCTAAGAAATCGGAAGCTACGAGAATTTCATAACTTCAGTTACACAGGATATAAACAACACCATTTGTAAATTAGGAAAGAATCTGATCACACTGATCTTGGTGAGATTAGATAATGTAAGGGCAAAGGAGATATCTAGAGTCTGATAGACCCCATATTTAAAATGAAAAAAAAAAAAAGAATATATGACAATGCCCATTGAAGTTATAGGGGATATTTGCATTCCCTGAGATAGCATTAAAAGGGATCCAAAGAAAAAATGAAAGGTACAGTGTAAAAATAATTTTAAAAATCAAGATGCACCAACGAGCGCTGACCCTGTGCCAGTATGTAAACAGCGGTTGCACTATGTATGTGAGGTATTGTCGCAAATGTCAAATCAAGGGCAGTAATTCTAGTACTAGACCTCCTCTGTAAATCTAAAATTGTAGCTTGTAAAAGCTTTTTAAAAAGTTGCCTATGGATATTAAAAATTGTAGTTTGTTGACATTGCACAGGGCATGCACAGTTTTAAAGCATGTCATGTTTAGTATCTATTTACTCGGCATACCATCATCTTTTATATTTTACCAAATAATTGGCCAATATATTTTGTTTTTGTGCATTAAAAGTAAAAAAAAAGTGTATTTTTTTCTTTAAATTTGCGTTTGAAAAATTGCTGCGTGAGTACTATGTGAGATAAAAAAAATGCAGAACCCACAATTTTATTCATTAGGGTGTCTGCTTTAAAAAATATATAATGTTTGGGGGTTCAAAGTAATTTCCTAGCAAAAAATACAGATTTTTTTCATGTAAACAAAGTGTCGAAAAAGGCTTGGTCTTCAAGTAGTTAGAAGAGTGAGTGATGTGTGGCATAAACTTCTAATGTTGGGCATAAAATGCCCCCACCCCCCAAAACGACCCCTTTTTGGAAAGTAGGTACCCCAAACTATTTGCTGAGAGGCATGTTGAGTCAATAGAGGAATTTATTTTTTACCACAAGTTTTTGGAAAATGAAAAAAAAAAAACAATTTTTTTTTTTTACACTAAATTGTCACTTAACCACTTCAAGTCCGGACATTTTTACCCCCTTCCTGCCCAGGCCAATTTTCAGCTTTCAGCGCTGTCACACTTTGAATGACAATTGTGCAGTCATGCAACACTGTACCCATATGAATTTTTTTAGCATTTATTTGAGACAGATAAAACTTTATTTTGGTGGTATTTATTCACCACTGGGATTTTTATTTTTTTTTCTATATACATGAAAAAGTCCAAAAACTTAGAAAAAAGTGTTTTTATTCAGTTATCTTTTTAGTAAAAAAAAAACCCAAATTAGTTTATAACCAAAAATTATAATTAAAAAAAAAATTTTTTTACATTTTTATTTTTCTATATTATTATTTATGTTTTTTTTTTAACATACTGTCACCCTAGCAGTAAAGTGTCACCATAGTGACACCGTACTACTTCTGGGAGGTGATGAAGATTTTTTTTTTCCTACACTGATTGCTTTTACACCCATAAAGGCTGCAAAATAAATAATTTCTCCTTCTCTCTGGCTGCATTCTTGCAGCCATTGAGAAATACTGTGTGAGCTGTGATTGGTCACAGCTTGTCACATGGTACAAGGCTGTTGTGAATAGCCTTTTACCATGTCATCTCTGTGATCATTCACAGATTTCTCACTTGGTGAGCAATGATGTCAGAAGTGACATCTTGTTTACAACTATTCATGTGATCACTAATTGGCCAATCAGTGATCACATGATCGGGACCTCACACAAAGGAGCACGCACAGTCCAAAATGGGCGGGCGCTGTTTATGAACGGCAACCCACTCCTGCACTGCTCCCATCTGGCCGTTTATATACATGGGCCAGATGGGAGTGGTTAAAATGGAGTGGTCCAAAATTCCAGTAGAGAGGTGTAAGAAACTCATTGATGGTTACAGGAAGCAATTGATTTCAGTTATTTTTTCCAAGGGGTGTGCTACCAAATATTAAATTGGGTGCCAATAATTTTGTTCAGTCCATTTTTGAGGTTTTTGTGTGGAATGTGTCAGATTTGGCTTTTTGCTTCTTAATTTTTTTGTGTCATATCAATACAAACAAAAGAAAACATTTGTAAATGCAACAATTTTCTGGGCAAATTGGTGCTTTATCTGAGAGAAATGCAGGGGTGCCAATATTTTTGGGCATGACTGTACTTACCTAAATCACTGATCCTCCGGGCACACTGCTCCTGTCCCTCCCGGCGCTAGTGGTCTTGCAAATGGGCTGTTTCTGATGTCATCATGCCCCATAGACTGATGTGAGGATGCCAGGAACAGTCCACCACTGGGTGTGGGGGAGTGTGGTTTTCCAGAGGATCGGAGGAGGGGGAAGTATAGCTTTTCCTTGTGCCCGAGGACAAAAAAAAGCAGTTACTCCATGCAGTGCAGGCACAGCCCCACTGCATGGAAAAATAAAAAATTTGACAAGAAATCTGCTTTAACAGAATAAGCTGTCCAGGCGAAGCTGCAGTTAGAGGGCTGAGCCAAACCATTTAACATTTACAGGGCTGCTCACAATTATCAGCTTTTGTTCATTTATGTGAAGCCTTATCTAACAAGGAAAAAACTGTTTGTTGAAGTTTTTAGTTGGAGTTCATCTTAAATTTGCTAATCAAGTTCATCTAAATCTGCTAGTCTGCTACCCTCTCCCAGACTGACAATGCTGCTGTCTAAAAGTGTCTGCTTTACTACTTCAACCAGAATGCAGACATGTTAAGCTCCATTCGTATCTAAACGTTTACGGAACACATGAAAAATTCATGTCGCACTTGTAGTGCCATTCATATTTAATGGTATCCCAAAAGCGGACAGCAGATGGTTCAAATGATTGGGCTGCCCTATGTGTATAGCACAAAATTGCACCAAAAAACTTGCGTTCACATGGATGCGGAGATGTGAATGCAGCCTAAGACAGGAAGTGTGTTACTGGCTGGATGACCAGGTGAAATAATGAAAAGAAATCTATAAAAAAGAAAACTAATTCAGTCACTACATCTAAGGATAGGTAAGCTGCAATACATTACATCTCTGTTTTTGGGTTTAATACCGCTTTAACTACAAGCCTACAGGGCACTTATACCCCCTTCCTGCCCAGACCAATTTCCAGCTTTCAGCGCTGCCGCACTTTGAGTGATAATTGCGCGGTCATGCAACACTGTACCCATATGAAATTTTTATCATTTTTTGTGACGGATAGAGCTTTATTTTGGTGGTATTTAATCACCTCTGGGTTTTTTATTTTTTCTTAAACAAACCAAAAACCACTGAAAATTTTTGAAAAAAGAAAAAAAAACGTCTTTTCTTAGTTTTTGTTATAAAATTTTGTAAATAAGTGATTTTTCTCCTTCACTGATGTGCACTAAGGCTGCAGTGATGGGCACTGATAGGCTGCACTGATGAGCACTAATAGGTGGCACTGATGGGCATTGATAGGCATCACTGATGGGCACTGAAAGGCACTGATATATGGCACTGTTAGGCAGCACTGACTGGCACTGTTAGGCGGCACTGACAGGCACTGTTAGGCGGCACTGACTGGCAGCACTGATAGGTGGCACTGACTGGCACTGATGGGTGACACTGACTGGCACTGATGGGTGACACTGAAAGGAAGCTCAGATGGGCACTGATATGTGGCATTGATGTGCACTGGTAGGCACTGATATGTGGCATTGATGTAGCACTGATGGGCACTGGCACAAGGCACTGATGAGCACTGACACAAGGCACTCATGGACACTGACAGGTGGCACTGCTGGGGCTACACTGATCATCAGGGCACACTGATCATCAGTGCCCTGATGATCAGTGTACATGTCCCCTCCACGGAAAGCTGATTAACGCCTCTCCTCACGAACTGTCAGCGTGACAGCTCGAGAGGAGAGAAATGTCAGTAACTGGCATTTCCCCGTTTACATGTGATCAGCTGTGATTGGACACAGCTGATCACATGACCGAGTCGACATCTTCGGCTCTTTCCGTTACCGGTGACCCCGCTGTGTCCGAGGGACACAGCGCACCACCGATCGCCACGCATGCGCGGTGAGAATGGGATGGGGTGGTTAAAACAACACAATTTAGTGAAACGAGTTGGCACAAACCCCCTACTCAGGGCGTCAAGTCCTGGGCGGGTAATTTGCCTTTTCTCATATTGCTAGGAATTGCAGATGTGTAAATTGACATTATTTGGCCTTTTCCTTACACTGCTATGCTTTTAAACCAGAAAACCTTTAGCTCCGGTTCACACGTGCGAATTCAGATGCATTTTAGAATGCATTCATTTGCATGAGACAGAAAATAACATGGGTTCTTTTGTGGCTACTCATATATATATATATATATATATATATATATATATATATATATATATATACACATATACACACACACACACACACACACACACACACACACACACACACACACACACATATATATATTGCACCCGCAGTTGAATTTAAAAAAAAAAGTCCTGTGCGTTTTCTGAGCAGTGCAGTGCGGTGCGGGTCTGGTGCGAATTACAGGCTCATTGACTTAAATGGGAACGTTTCTAAATCACACAGGTTATCAGTTGTGAACCCAATTTGAGCCTTGCCAATTCAAATCAGAATTAATCTAAATCGCACCTGAACTGTTGAAAAACTACTTTGAATATTCGCACCGAAATGGACCTGTAAATCGGACCACATGTGTGAACCCAAGCTAAAATGAATTCAGCTTTAAGCACAATAAATTCTATTAAGATGTGTGCATCTATATTTGACATGAAACAAAGCTATCTCACAATGCATTAACTTGTGTTCTATCCGTTCTTCATTTCAGTCCATGTTAATGCATTATTTTCCCTTTCACTGGAATACTTCAAACAACCAGCCTCCCATAAGAAAATACAATACATCAGGGTAAGGTAAACTAAGCGGACTATTGTGTCTTGACAAAGAAGTAACACCCCAAGCAGTTTTTTTCTGGCATTTCATCACTCATTTGGAATGCATGGGGACAATCAATGTAAATACATGTTCTCTTTCACCATGAGCCCAATGACTGACTCTGAATGCAGACTACAGAAAGTATCAGCACTTTCATTATGCTGTAAAATCACAGTTTTGAGGTTTGTAGAGCGTGAGGAGAGAAAGAGGGAGAGGAAAATGATACTCACTTTCCCTGCTCCAACAGGTCCGATTACAGCCAGCAATTCCCCAGGTCTCACACTGCATGACATATTCTGAAGAGTTGGCACTTCCAAGGTCTGCAAATAAAACAATGTTTGATATAATACCACTACAGTCAAGCAAAAAATATTCAAAGTTGTGCAATCTCTTACACACTTAACAGACAGAAACAACTAGAGAATAGCAATTGCATTTTATATACTAATAGACAATAATAATTACACATTGGACAGTAAACCCCCAGGATAAGATAGAAAACAACTATTCCATTCTAAGACAGTGCTGTGTTGTATAAAGTTGGAACTCAAAAGAACACGTTTATCATATGAGTTAATTGTTACTTTAACTGACAATTGCGCGGTCATGCAATGCTGCACCCACATGAAATTTACGTCCTTTCTTTCAGTGGTATTTGATCATCTGTGCATTTTTTTGTTTTTTGCACTATAAGCAAAAAAAGGCCAACAATTTTGAGAAAAAAAAAATAATATTTTGGACTTTTTGCTATTAAACATGTCCAGTAAAAAAATTTTAAAAATCAAATTTCGTCATAAATTTAGGCCAAAATGTATGCTGCGACATGTCTTTGCTAAAAAAAAAAATCTCAATACATTTAAATTATTGGTTTATGTGAAAGTTATAGCGTTTACAAATGGCAGTATAGATAATGGGTTTTTATTTTCTACTAGTAATGGCGGCGATCAGCGACTTTTAGCGTATCTGCGGCTGACATTTTGACACGGGGGGGGGGGGGGAACTAACTTGGTGTTGCCCCCAGTGACACCAATACAGTGATCAGTGCTAAAAAAAACACTGACACTACTAATGGCACTGGGCAGGAAGGGGTTAATGTGAGGAGCAATCAAACGGTTAACTGTGTGCTGGGAGTGTTTTACTAGAGGGCGGGGGTGTGTTCTTCATTATAAGCACACTGATCGGGATGGCTGTACTGTGCACAGCCATTCCGAGCAGTGTGCTCAAGCTGACAGGGAGGAAGATTGTTTGTAAACAAAACAATCTTCCTCCCCGCCAGATATATTCGGTAATCACCAACCGCCAGCGGGTAATTACCAGCCGGGACCTGGTGAATGACATACATATATACACACAAACGTGATTCTGCACACAGGTGCCACCCTGTAGCAGTATATCTGCTATAGGGCAGTCCTTAAGCGGTTAATGAATGAGGAGGAGCTCATAATCCAATTACGTGCAAGCAAAATATATATATATATATATATAAAACATTTTCCTTAAACATGACTGAGTATTGTTTTCAAAGTGAAATTGCGCCACATTCACCAAGCTCTGGGAAAAACTTCCTTGCACAGTGCAACTACCCTTGCAAAGTAAAGAGCCAATTTGCCTTTAGCAAATCAACCTGAGTATTTGGTGTAGAGTAATCACAAATTTTCCACATAAAATGGAACATCCCTTTACTGTATACATGCTGCATTCAAATGCTGACACTGGATAAAGTTCGAATATTTACTCAAAAACTGTTATCCAAGCATTTGAGAAGCATCTGTGCACAATTGGGTATTTAAGGTGAAAAGGAATTTGCTAGCACGATTGGATAATTAATATTCACACATTTTTTGCAAAGATTCTATACTCGTTTAGTAAATCAGCCTAGTTGTCTCAACAAGGGAAAAAAGTTAAAATGAGTTTGCAGGAATTAGTCTGCACACACTACAATAGTTGGCAAATTTCTCTTTGTTAATGGTGCAAGTACAACGTTTGATAGCACTTAGGAAGCCATAGTCATCCCATATCAATAACCCTTTAGAGGCCTGACTATGGCCCAGTCTATTTTTTTGTTTTTGATAACTGGAGAAAAGTTACCAACTCTAGGATTCTATTGCTGCCAGTGACCTCTCTGGGGAGATTTTTGTAGTTGAGTGGGAAGGCATACAAATTCCATCTGGTTTTTACTGCTGAATGGATCCCTATTTAGATGATATCCTTAATTTCCGGTGTGGACACAAGCAGGATAAAAAAAAAGAGGAGCTCTTCCAAACATGGAAGCATGCAGCAAGAAAAGCTCATCTGCCCAATCCATCCTCTATCCAAAGCTAAAAAAAAAAAAAAAAAAAAAAGTTGACTGTTGTTGATATTTAAATACCAATGATTACATGGCTTACAAGTTTGCAGCCAAATAAGGCTTGGTAATAAGTGACAATATAACTATGCTGCAGCTAAAGGCAAAGATGTTAACTATCACCTTGTCAAAATACACTGGAGGAAGGTGCTGTTGGCTTGAGAAAACCATGCTAATGAGGAAGAAATACAAATAGAGCTAACTTGCAGTTAAAACATAGGCTATGTTCCAGCACATTCATATGAGACAGTTTGTCATAGTTCTGGCCCTAAAATCTACAGGCAGATCATTCACCAGATATAACAGAAAACATGATATAAGTTTGTTCGTAAAAATCTGCCAAGCACTAAGAAAAGAACATCATAAATTCCTTCTTACTTACCAAATATAGTTTGGTCAAGGTTTTCAGAACTGACAAATGTTACTTTTTCTATTTAAGTCTTAAAAAAAATTGGGGGAAAAAAATTCCACAGGATACTATGCAAAAATATTTATGGCTTTATTTTCCGACAGTTACACTGAAAATGCAGAAAATGGCATATGGTGTTTGCCGTTACGAAGAAAAGTAACACTGCGTGTGTGTGTTCAATACAGCACATGCCTCCTGGCATTGGTTAAGAAGTTAGTACTGGTTAAAATTGGGGCTTTTTATGCAAATGTTGAACTGAATTAAAAATGTAAGAATTTTCCACTTAAAGGTGTTCCGTCCAGGTATTTTTACACTCAACAAAACATGAACTCCTAGATCAGCCTTTCTCAACCAGGGTGCCTTGAGGTTTCTTCAGGGGTGCCTTGGCAAAATGTCTAAAAATTGCCCAAAACTTGTATAAAAGCCAGCAGGTGGAACAAGCCTGACTATTAGTTACACAAAGCCACAGGTTTTCATTGTACACCATTATGACCTTCTAGCCGCCAGTGTCCTGACAACCAATGACATCATGACTTGATAAGGAGGATGTTGGCTGCCTACACACCATCCTAAATTACCGCTCTCCTGCCCCTCTCCATCAGGATTGGGGTCACATTAGCTCAGTGATGAAGAAAACTGAGGGAGAAGAGAAACACTGGAATACTAGTTGGTACCAGTGTGTAAAAGTGTATTTGCTTTGGAAGAATACAATTCCTCTAATGTTGGGTGTCCTACATGTGTGGATGTTGTGTTATATAAAAACTATTAGAATAGTTTTTCACATTTCAGAATGGGGTGCCCTTTTACAATTATGTAAAGTCTCGAGGCACCCCATTTTAGAATGGGGTGCCTCAAGACTGTCCATATTTTTAAGGGTGCCTCGGGACTGTCCATCATTCTAAAGGGTGCCTCGGGACTGTCCATCATTTTAAAGGGTGCCTCGGGACTGTCCATTTTAAAGGGTGCCTCGGGACTGTCCATTTTAAAGGGTGCCTCGGGACTGTCCATTTTAAAGGGTGCCTCGGGACTGTCCATTTTAAAGGGTGCCTCGGGACTGTCCATCATTTTAAAGGGTGCCTCGGGACTGTCCATCATTTTAAAGGGTGCCTTGACTGAAAAAAGGTTGAGAAACACTGTCCTAGATAGTATACGCTATTCTAGACTTCACTAAAAATCAGTCTACAGATGTTTTAAAAGTTCTGCTAATGTAACAGCATTATTAGAAACATCACTGATCAGTAGAAATAGAACTTTTCTTACTTCCATGATGTTTGTGTTCTTTCTTAACAATTTATCTTATTAATTGCAAGACACATTTTTCTACAAAACCATAAATTTAGAAGATAATATTGAGAATTTATTCTGCAAAAGTACCAGCAGGTGGCAGCAAGTCAACAAAAACAGATCAGTTAAAATGTACATAGTAAAAATCTAATCTAACAAGAACTAAGATGATCAATACAATGCCTGCAACTGTTCAAGAACTGCTACCCGCTGCATGTTACTCAATAAATTTAAATATTAGGGGGAGCTGGAAGACAGCACACAAAACTTTAAAAATCAAACTCAGAGTATATGCACACGTTACAAATAAAAACTTCACATCAGAATACTAACCAAATATTACTTCTGTGAAGTTTTACACAAGTCTACAAATCATACTGCAGAGCAAAGTAGAACATTGGCAAGTGACATTTTGTTTTCACTACCAAAGCGGATATTCCCTTGGACTTTAGTTAACAATTGTGCAGGAAACGGAAGAATGGTATAACATATGGTAATCAATTATTTACCCAGTTGTGTCAGTTTTATGTTATCTACATAGTGAACAATTCTAATTGGTTGTCATAAATATCTGTTTGTGCCAGTTATAAATAACACCCCTTTTGGGCATCAATTAACACTTGACCTCCGGGAGGTTTTTCCCTCTTCATGACCATGAAACTTTTGCTATTCAGCACTGTGCTACTTTAAAGTGACATTAAAGCTTAGGTTTTTTTTAAATAACAAACATGGCTATAGTTACGTGCTCTGTGTAGTGATTTTGCACAGAGCAGCCCCGATCCTCTTCTTTTTGGGTCCCGCCAGTGCTCTTGGTTCCTCCCCCTCAAGCAGCACCTCAAGAGAAAGCCACTCGCCCTGGGGGCACCACTGCCTGCTTGTCCCTAAGCCGTTGCTCTATGCATCCACAAGAGACAGAGCCGCGGCTCGCCCCCCCACTCTCTCCTCATTGGCTCACCGTCTCTGGTTGACAGCAGTGGGAGCCAATGGGCTCCCGCTGCTGTCTCAGCTAATGAGGAGAAAGGGTCCCCAGACAGCAGAGTCTGTTGGGAATGTCGCTGGATTGGAAGGGGCACAGGTAAGAATTGGGGAAGGGGGGCTGGGGAGGCGCTGCACACAGAAGGTTTTTACCTTCATGCATAAAATAATACATAAAGGTAAAAAAACCTTGAGCTTTTAGAACCAAGTTAACTCTTAAACAAGTTAAATTACTCGGTCATTCAACACTGTACCCAAATTAAATTTATATACATTTTTTCACACAAATAGAGCTTCCTGTAATGGTA